GTTTTCTTCCTTTAAAATCCCTTGACATGTAAAGACAGTTGACTGAAACAAAATTCTGGTACAGTATAATGGACTCTTGCTGATATAGACATAACTTACAAATTAATGCCGGTACTTACAGTGCTGTTAAGAGCATTTCTGTGGTTCTGACTCTTAAACATTTACCCTGGTGAGTCCTATTTACACTACGATAATGCAGGGAAATGAAACTTGTACTCCCTGTACAGGTTAAACAACACTTAGAAGAAGTCTGATGTACTTACCTATTGGACCACCAAAAGGTGCTGCACTCACAATAAACCGGGATAAATCCACAGCATCTTGCCACTCCATACTGTACAGCTCTACTTTCCTGTTCAAGACAAACACATTTTGCGAAGAAAACTTCTGCTGTAATTCAATTATGGCTACAGTGTGTACATTTAAAATATTTCTCCATCCCTGATTGATTGGCTTAAATTCCATGGTTGCCCGGGTATTTCTTTCCTGAGCCTGCTGGTTATTTGCCAAAATTGAAAGAAGTTTGCTTTGATTTAAAGGCTGATGTCAATAGTAAAGTCTCAGACAGGAAAAAGTAAAAAAAAAAAAGATTAAAGGTGTGTGCAAGCCAAAGGCCCCAAGAGGGTGGAGCTTATGCCAGCTTCCTTAGCATGAAGCATGACTATAGGAGTCTTGCCATTCCCCGTTCCCCGCTAGATGGGATGCTAGTCCATCGCAGGGTCACCACCTGGCAGTACTTTGTCGGTATCCATTTATACACCTGGGTGAAGAGAGACAAAGCGGTGTAAAGTTCCTTGTCTAAGGAAACCATTCGAAACACAAGGATTGAACCCTGTCCCTCCAGATCTGGAGTTCAAGGTGTTAACCGTTCTGTCAGACACACCTCCAAACTGGAAAAGGATGCACAGAAATCAAGCAAAGAAGCAGAGTGATGGTTTGGCTGTGTTGTTGCTGAAGACCAAGAGTAAATGGTAGAAGATTTCACATGTTATGGGTAGATTAATGCCTGAGTCGCACATGGAGGTTGGGTGCCTAGGAACCTACGGGCTGGAGCCACCAAACCCCTAACCCAGGTAGCAAGAACACCCCAAAAGCCTGCCCTACCTGCAACCCAGCCACAAGCGCTGCCAGCCACATCCAGCCCCGGCCCAAGCACCCATCACACTGAACTGAGATTTCAGTGGAGAAATAAGGACAATAATAATAAGGGGTGAGGAGGGAGGGAAAAAACACTAAAACTGAGTAACACTGAGCAAAACGCCCCGAACATTATGCACTTTAAAACTACAAGCACATCATTGCAAACGCAGACGCATAAATTGCGATGGAAAACCACTGACACAGGGGCACTGGAAATTATTCCACAACAGGCCTAGTACAGTAACATGAACCATGGCAAAAACAAAAGAGCATAGGATAACTGCCAGCTTGCCAAAGCACACCAATATAAGACAAACGTCAATGACACGCCAACGCCATGCTAAAGCCAAGATAACTACTAAGCAGCTACTGGAGCTCCTCATCGTTAACTAAGTTAAGTAACTATATTTAACCCATTAAATTTCCTGAACTTCTCCCTCAAAAACTTTGAACTAACACACAAAGACACTGAAAACTACCATTTGAAGAATATCAGCAAGAAAATTATATCCCCTCATAATCTGGGACTGGCAAAAAACAGGCAGATGTTTGACTACTGGAATTTTACATAGAGGTAAGGATGTCTTCAGCTTGGAGGAAATATTTTGAATGAATAATAAAACAATAATAGGTACAGTCTGATCTGAAAAGAACCACTTACCTATAAAATACCTTTCCAAGTGGATTCCAATCAACTGTAACGTGAGCCATGTTATTCTCTGAGAGTGAATGAAACGAGTAGCAAGTGTGATCGGTGTAGTTTATCCAGGGTCTAATAAGTGCAACATGTGTAAAATTCTGGTGACAGCAGATCCACCATTTTGTTTGTGTGCACATCAACTGCTCAGCAGACCCTGTCACAAATAGAAAATCCCATGTTTCCAATCGGGTAATAATTTTCTTCGTGTAAGCATACATGAAGGAGGTTGAAAGTTTTCAAGATGGCTGTCCCCAAAGCGAAGGGCTGTCGGCCGAGATGCTTCTTTGATGTTCAAATAAATGGATCTCCAGGTAAGAAACGTTAAATTCCTCGGATAAAATGTTTGCATGGGCTGCTGTGTTTCAAAGTCAAGTCATTTGGGTAGAGAAGCGGCTGAAATTCAGGCCATAACTCAATAATAATTATTGGAAATAATCATTCAGAAATTTTGAGCAATTTTCTCGAGATAGCTCGTTTAATTCTTCTAACAACATAAGGTATTTGTTGAGAAATCTCAAGCGATTATAAATATTGCCTTGGGTTAAAAGTAGAAGCAACTGTCGAGCGTGGGCATAGAGTAAAATCTGAATGTTTTCGACACTTAGAGAATATTCAAGTTCTGACACACTAAGTCAACTCCCGATGAATATCCACAGAAATTATCAACGAAACCTCACCAGAGTATTTAGTGTTTGTTCAGAAATGCCAAGCGATTCTAAATAAAGGTTTCGTATTGTCGTGGACAAATTCTTCGCGCTTGCATTGTAAGCATATTCTTTAGAATCTTGACTCACGGGTATGGTTTTCAAAGTACTAGATGCCCGGCAGTCGGAAATTCACGTCCAATTTAACGGGGGGTGACAGCTATAACAAGCGCTGTTTCGGGAGAAAAACAAATATATTCCGGGAATCTGGAGATTTTGCCGGGAATCGGGAAACCTGGGAAATTTTGCGGGAAATATGAGATATTTTCGGGACATTGAGCAAAGATTTGATATTACATGTTATCAAACAATATATGTACAGTGATATGCACCCAGTGTATGCGCTTGAAAACGGCTGAACTCCCCATGATATGAAAAGACCAATCAGCAACGTTTCCAACTAAAATAGCATGAGGTTCGAGTGGGATTGACCTCGTGCAATCCCCAGCGGATTGACACAATAACCGTACCAGTGCAAGGCACATACTATCAGTTCACACCAGATCCCATCATTCATTAGTTCCGGGGTATTTTTACGCTGCACGTTAACGAGTTTTAAGAGCACATTCCACTGATTGCATACTGGAAAACTTGAAAGAAGTACGTAAGAAGTATGTAAGAAAAAAACGAAACTCATTTAACCTTGTTAAACACAAATGAGGCCATCAAAAGTTGTATGTCTGTGAAGACTCTTTAATCATCCTGATCTCGTCGGGGTCCTTCCGATTTTGCTCGAAAATCCCGAATCCCGATCAATATGCGTTCGGGATAGGAAAATTTCAGATTTCGACAGTTGTTCTGAAATTTTCAAATGAATTCTTATGATATTCATACAATGACACCACACAGAGTGTACTTAGCTGAAAGTGATATCCAGAGCAATTTCAAAAACCGCACAACTTGTATAAAATAAAATTGACTACTTCTACGCGAAGTCACGCCAATAAAAATAAGCATAAAAAGGACAATTGACTTCGAGAATATTTTGGACAGAATTTGTCCTCTCAGAACACTAGAAATGGCGTTTCAGAGGGACCAAGATTTCAAAATTTTCTGGGGGAGCATGCCCCCAGACCCCCCTAGAGGGATTGCCCCCTTCACTGCTCGCCTGATTCATCGGTGATTAAAAAACAAAAAAACACGATTTTATATACTTAAAAAGTTTGACAGTCTTTCTGTGTTAACATGACACTCTCTAAACGAAAAAATAACTAAGGTTAGATAATTAACAAGTTACATAATTAACAAGAAGCTGCAAAAAATCTCTAATCAAAATTTTCATTTTAATTGTTAAGACAATCTTGGGAAGTTAAACATTTATGGGGAATGCCACCGAAAAATTCGGGAGGGTGGACGAAATTTCCGGGAGGACATAAAGTTATTCATAGGACTGCCCAAACAGCCTTTGTTAGAGTTGTCACCCCCCGTAATTTACACGAAATATCTCATTTACTTTGTGTAAAAACTTCAGGAAGTTGTTTAGAAAACTCAAGCGATTTCAAATACTGCTTTGGGCTTGAAGTAGAGGCAACCGTCGAGCCTTCTTGACCTATTTTTGCCGTTCTCCTTGCCATCGCCAGATCATGAAGTCGCTATAGCATTTGTGTCAAGCAATACACTGTAGTGTTACACCGGAAATTGAAGGGCACTCTTCTGCCGAGTCAACAAATTTCACGTTGTTTGTAACTCACAGGAACGTCTCCAGAGGATATCTGTTAAGACTACAGACTCTTTATAATTTTACACACAAATCGAGTAGACTCAGCAGATGCCGAGAAAGATTTTCATGAAAGTACCGGTGAGTCAAGATTCTAAAGAATATGCTTAATGCAAGCTCGGAGAATTTGTCCACAACAATATGATGGTGAGGTTTCGTTGATAATTTCTGTGGATATTCATCGGGAGTTGACTCAGTGTGTCTGACTGCTGGGTAGCTAGATTTTTGAAAACAGTTCTCAGCTGCCGGGTATCTAGACACGTCAAATAATCAATTAGAAGCTTAAGCTTATATTAAGCTTAATATAGAAAAAGTTTTGCGTCTTTGATTTTAATCAATTTCTATAATTTTAAACTTAAATTAATGTGACTGTGTAGCATTGGTTATGAATGCTTACTTCTCTTAATTAATGATTTGAGCCTATGAACACTGCGATAATCTAAATTTTTTTATGGATTATTTTGGCAATTTGATTGAAATCAATAAGGTTTCCAATGAGCAACCTCAGTCTTCTTGTAACATAGAAAGAGAAGTAGGTGGGTACAAAAGAAGGCAGGTTTGAAAGAACCTCAAATCTAAAACTTTTAAATCTTGCTTGATTTAAATTAAGAATCAATTTTGCATTCTTTGTAGCAGGCAGGATTATTTTTGAACTGTTTGCTGACATCTGTCCTAAGACATCTGACAACTTTAGAGCATTGTGCACAGGTAGGGAAGGACGTATTGATGTAGATACATATTCTACTTCTACCACTACCAACTACTTTATTAATATTAATAATAATAGTAATGATAATAATGATAATAACAATAATATCATTTTTCATACATGGTAACCCCATCAGTTACATATTACATGTAAATGTTAGTGTTTTAGAGTTGATGTGTGGTTGACTGTACTCACTTGTAAGTGGGATGGGGTCATAATATTAAATTCATGGCCACTTCCTTTTTTTGTTTACTTTACTAGTGCATACATACATACACATATACATACATCTAATTTGTATTTTACAATTGAAGTACAATATTATTGTGGGTAGCTATGCTAATCTAGGGAGTCATGTTTTCGGGAAACAAATAACAACAACAACAACAACAACTTTATTGTTTGTACGAAAATACAAAAGTTGGATGGTTCACCCTGCAAATAACTGGAAAGCTACTCGTGGCGGGGCAAGACAAGTACATGTATAACACAAATTATCTAATAAAAACAAAAACCTTAACTATTAGAAAGCCTTGCAGATTGCACTAAAAATGAATAAAACACAGAAGTTAAGTGATCTAATTAACACAGCGCTTACTGACGTACAATGCATTAAGACAAGGAGTCACGGACTCTTAAATGATAACACAGAAAAAAAGAAAAGCAGACATTAAAACCTTTAGCAAGTGTATTCTAAAACTAAAAGTAATAACAGTGTTCCAGATAAGAGATGGGTCTTGGGTCAATGACCAGACAAACAAGGCTTCCTGACCCGACAGATGACATATAAGTTTTAAGTTAAATATGGCAAAAAAAATTAGCAGGTGGTCTTGGTGACCCCTCAGATGGTCTACATGACCCCCCCCTTGAAATAATTAACTGGAATGCTGAATAAGAGGCCTAAAAAAATGCCAGAATTAACATAATGATAAGAGACTACTGAAAAACTAATGCAATAGTGCATAGTGCTATGAAATTGCTGAACTTTTAAGGAAATTAATGGCTATTTTTTAAGTGATCAACTTGACATTTCATGGAAACTTTAAACAAGATTTTTGGGATTAATTTTGAACCTGTTTTTTAGGAGAAAAAGGTTTAAGCAGGACGGGAAGGTTCTTCACTATAAAGGATCAGGGTTCCATCAAGTTATCAAGGATTTTATGATTAAAGGAGGAGACTTTACTAAAGGTATAAGATATTTTTATTTTTATATCAAAATGGTAAAGGAAAAGGCACACTTAAGCTAAAGGCTCAAATGGGCGGAGATTTTCCTGGTTTCCTTAGTTTTGCGTTACATGTACTTCAAAATCCAACAAATACATATATCATTGAGGAAATCCACTTCATTATTCACCGTTTTTCACCTAGACCATAATGCACCTTGTCTACCCCGTAAATTTTGCAGAACCATTGTCTTCAATTTCTCTTTAGACTACTGTAATATCCAGGAAAACCTGGAAACAAAATGCAAAATTTTCAGGGGTAAACAAGGTGCATGAATAATTATGGTCTGTGAAAATGGTGAATATAGTAACCTAAATTGCATAAATATTTTTTAGAAGTCATGAAAACAGTGTTTACACTGCAAGAAAACTTAAGTGGACTAATCCTTAAAAAAAAAAATGGGCTGATCTGTTTTTAAGTTTGCTGGAGTTCTTCATTCAAAGGTCATTTTGTCCAACTCTGGGTGAGTGTACCTTCACTCTCCTAACGCTTGCACAAAATCACCTGTAGGCAGTTTTGATACTGCACCTTAAATTGTCTTATAAAAAATTCAGCATTAAACGGGCCTTAAAGCAAAGTATGTGATTTCTCTGGAGTAAACTTTGCACAGAACACTTACACTGTAGGGTTAGTTATTAAAACAAAGCCTTTTTAATA